AATGTTGGTGATGGTTTGCATCTCAGAGTATCTATTAATAACATAAACAACCAACACATTACCAAGTACGGAAACGAGGCAAACCAGAATAGCGAAAGTTACTTCCAAAACAATATCTCCTCTCGAGCGATTGGGAGGATCTTGGGAAATCGTTTGAGACCGCATCCTCATCCGTAATCCAAGCTGCAGTAAATATGTAAATGATATATCAACAACAATTTCGGGAAGACAAAGTTATTACGTGGATCCATCATAAAAGTTACAATGTACAACTTTCTGATTTAGGCAAATGAAACTTTACAATAATCTTTTTTTCATTTTTGTCATTGAAACTGAGCCAACACTCAGCACAGCTCACAATACATCGCCTCCATATTCCTCAATGGATCTTTACAATTTCAGGAGTAACAAAGGGCATTTTTTCCATGGTCATCCTTCATGATCTTCAATAAACATAGTGCAACTTATTTCTTCATAAAATGCCTAAATGTTATATAATACTCACGTTTCTTAATTCACTGAATCTCTCAAACTCAGTTCGAAACCTGGTTAAAATCTTTTTAACTTGCGGCTGGCTTAATGTTCCAAGATGCTGAGATTATCAAGCTACTTCAGAGAAAAGGATTGATTGCTAAGATTTCCGTTTTACAGTGGACTTAAATATGGTTTTATTGAATCCAAGAGAGCCATTATCACTAATTATATTTATATCCCTTTTTGCTCATAATCCTTTGTCAGTTATTCTTTTGTATGAGGAGTAAAGTAAGTGGTCGAAAAAAGAAAGCAAAAAGAAAAAAACAGCTTTCGTTTGTTCAGTAAAGGAAAATCTTTACCTCTACTGCGTAAACAGTTGAAAGCAAGTAGAAGGAAACAACTTCGTTCTCAGTTTTTGCCGTTTGCAAGAGCTACCTTATTACTTAGGCTATGTTCCTCTCTGATCGTGATTAGAACTCCTTTGTTTTCCCAATCAGATAAATCACTTTAAATCAAAAGCTCACGGAATTATGCCCCCTTGTCGGTATATTAGTTGTCTGTTTAAAGTGAAAAAGCTTTGGCGTACTTGTAACAAAAGACATGATAGAAGGAAAATGACTCTGAACAGTTTGGATATTGGAGTCACAATTAAAGTGATTTATTTGGATCTGAACAGCATAAGAAATATAGAGTCTTAATGGGATTTACCGATAGCCGTAAAACGGTTGAAATTAAGCCGATTGGCGGAGAAATTGACAAATTGTAACCGACAGTTGTTAAAAGAAAGATGACTTTCTTTCTGATAAAAGGGGCCAATCCAAATTATCTTTTGGAGACGAGAACCACGCCTGTCAGAAATTCACTAACATGGAAGCGAAACTAAGAATAAAAAATCCTCTTAAATGACAACGCTTTCCGACATAACCAATGAGTCATTTTAACTCTTATGCCATCACGTGCCCATCTTTGATATTTTTCATAATATTTGGGTACATTATATTTTTTGAGTGAAACATCAATGATGAGTGGTGTGTGATATATAAGAAAAAAAGTTGCAGCGATACGAAACAACATAGCTATAGAAATCCCGCTAAAGGGTCACAAAGCTTTAGTTTTAGCATCAGGGCCGAGGAATCGTACAGCTTTTTAGATGGAACGCCCACAGACACCAGTCCTCGCATTAGATCAGTCACTGTCTGCTTTAGCAAAGCAAATTCAATGGATCATCGTCGAGTTCAGTGAAGTAAACCTTGTCCTAATGCGTGGGGAATTTCACATGGAGATGGCGTCCTTGAAGTGGCTGAGTGGTACTGGATGGAAGGAAGTTATGTGCAACACTGGAGTAGCAACACAGGAGGAAGCTGAGTCATCCCTTTCGCCAACCATGTAACCCGTACACGATGTGCACACCAGGTGACAGCTGCAAGTCTGCATATTCTGATAAATAAAGCCTACAATGAATATCAAGCCAAATCAAGAGAGAACGAGCAAGAGAACATGTTTTCCAAAGAAGAATGGAAAGATGAAATGGCAAAGAAGTCACCACAGTTTCAGAACTGGTCGTCACTGCTCATACTAGAAGTAATCTGTCTGCGCCTTATCAGAGCCTTCCAAAAAGGTGACTTCCCCACGTACATCGATGCCTTGCGAGCGATACTGCCATGAATGTTTGTGATGGACCATTCTAATTATGCCAGTTGGCTTTCGGTTCACTACAGGGACATGTATGTCCTTCCATTCACGCATCCAGGTACGTACAGGTATTTCAGCCAAGGCTACTTTGCTGTGCACAAGATCACGGAGCTGTCTTCTGTCATAGCCTTTGATCATGCGCACGAGCAGGAGAGTGCTAAAGTTAAAGGGGAAGGAGGCACAGTTTGTCTCACGGAGAATCCATCAGCTTTGAGAAGATGGATGGTGGAGGTCCTGAGCTCTCCAGGATGATTCAAGAGCTCGAAGGTAGCAACAATCCAACAGAGGAAAATGACCATCATGAGCAGAAGTCAGGTACCAACAGTGCATTCTGCAAGGAGGTACTGAATACACTATCTTCATTTCAAGAACTTTGCAACCCGGTCCTAGAAGTAGTAGGAAACCTGGTGGCGATCCAAACCAGGGAAATCGTGGATGATACCGTAGTACTAGCATCAACAAGAATTCCTTCTGACTGGAAGGGCTTTGCGTGAGTCGACGATAACAAGAACAAACTTTTCAAACCCATTGCAAACAAACTATGTAACTGGTATTGCTTTTTGTAACAGAATTGTGTCTCTCTTGACAGACTTCAAACACCTTTCTATACATGCTTTAAGCACAAAAATTTGTATCATTTTTTTAAGGTGATTTCACTGGAGGTTAGAGCAACTACTCTTACTATGGCGAGGGTATCCTATCGAGTACTGAAAAAACGGAGGTGAGCTCACTCGCCTTATGGTCCATATACTTGATGCAGCCTCATGCGGACATCGACGAATTAGAATAAGAATTAATGATACAGATGTTGTTGTAGTTCCAATTTCAGTGGCTATCACTGTTCCAACAAATGAACTCTGGATCACTTATGGATCTGGAAAGAATGTACAGAATATCCCTGCACATACAATAGCAATGCTCCTGGGTCCTGATAAAGCCTCGACCCTACCAATGTTCCATGCGCTAACTGGGTGTGATACTGTTTCGTTTTTCGGAGGGCGTGGAAAAAACGGCTTGGGATGTATAAAAAAGTGTCTCCTAAACTAACACCACCGCTAAACGTCCTCAAGGCATCACCACAAGAGATCACAGAGGAATGCATGGCTGTGCTTGAGAGGTTTGTTGTCCTTTTTCATGACCGAACAAGCAGCCTTACGAAAGTAAACGAGGCGCAGGCGTTAAAGTCTTAGCTTTGGAAAAGAAAAGGCGAAGTTACATGAATGAATTGAAGATTTTATTAGCTGAACGTGAAAGAAGATTGAAGATAAAGCGTCTGACTCTGCGTCGTTCTTGTAAAAAGAAAAGATTGGAGATGAAGATACCGCTAGATAGTGTTAAAATGGCATGAATTTTAATACTTCTGATATCCGAATGCGTAGCTAGTGATTCCGTCTTAATGGATGTATTTAAGTAGTTGAACTTGCGGAAGCGGGTTCCTCGAGGACGCACATACTGCTAAGTTTTACAATGTAACGCATCTTATTATAACATTACACATGCTGGCGATATCAGGGTAATTGATTCTTTGATCTTGTGAAAAGCTACGAGATTATCGTTAAAGATTTTACTGCTTACAAATGTTGGTTTTGAACTACATTCCAATATTTTTTTGCGTCAGTCACAAGTTTGACGTCGACTCTTTTTCTGATGTTTTCCATTGTCTTACCGAACACACTGTTATTCATGAACTTGACAAAGTCTTTTTTAAAATGATTTTAGCAACAGTTCTTTTTTGTGTGTTGAAATAAATGTACTGTTTGAATTGTAATACTCTGTGAACCCTCTTCAGCTTTAATCCAAGATTAAGATACAGTCGAAGGTTCCTGTAATGAAGTACATATTTTTGTTTTCCAGACAATGTTGGAACTAGTTTTTTTAACCTGTCGCATGCTTATGTTTAACCATTTGAAACCACCGGTTGGAAGATACTGACTCACAGCTCAACCATAGAGATTATTAACGTCCAAATACATGACATGCTTTGACGGTGCCCTCTCATCGAACTGTTTCATGTGTTTATTATTTGCTTTTCCAAATCTGTCAAAAAAATATATGAGATACCGCTAGGTATTCCTTTTTCGATGAATTGAAACATGTCAATGTCAGTGATCAGTTCCAATTGTATATCAGTTATTTTAAACATAGCATCTCAAGACATTCTTGGAGATGTAAATAATGACGTGGATCAAAATTCATTTTTTCCTGGTAGTTTTTATTAATTGTCGGACACCAAAACTCTTGCAACGACAGGTGGTATGCTACCTCTTAATTAGATTTACTAAAAATTTACTTGTCTTGAAATATTTCTTACCTTATTTAGGCTTTGACGAGAAAAGAAATTCTGCTTTTTTCGGAAATAAACCTTGGATTTCTGAGATCCATATTTTAAAGAGAAGTGGGCCACCTCCCTTTAAAATATTCTTGGATCTGCGCCTGGTTTTCACAACAACAGAGGCACAATTTGGGAATACCAACTATCCCTTTTTTAGCGTAAGAAACATCGCGCTGAATAATTATGGCGCTAATTGATTGATTTTGAGCCACTAATCAGACAAATCAAAGATCAAACGGAGTCCGACAGCCTCTATGACTACGTGCAAAGTTCTTTATTGTCATACTTTACGTCATTAGCTGCGAGAGTGAAAGCGAAACTCAAGTTTAGTTTTTCCCACGCCGTTTTGAGTGGCTTGGCTCTTTGTTTGTTTTATTTGAGCATTTGACATGAAAAAACAAAGTAAACGGATTTGAATTTGCCTCCCTTTCCAAAACAGAACTCTAAAAGCTGATGGTTTTATCTTGGTGCAGCAAATGAATCGGTCTTATTTTAGGTTTTCTCAAAAATAAAACAGCATATTCACCTTAAGTTTTCCTTGTGTCGGTTTCCCTGTGTTATCGCAAGGGTGCATTAGGGCGAAGTAACGCTCAAATGCGATAGCGACCAGACTAAACACAGATGCAGCTGCTCCTGTCCACATCAAGTTTCTCCTGGTCAAGAATTTACACTGGAATGTTCCTATAACTCCGTCAGGATGCTGGAAAGTGTGGATCAGAACGAACTGTGGCGCTATAAACAGCGCTACCATGATATCAGCAAAAGCCAAATTGACCAGCAAAAAGTTTATTGGTGTCCTAGAAATAAAAATGACTTCTTTGTTTTGCTTCAAAGTTTCATGTTGCCCTCTGTATCTTAATTTCACGTCACAAATTATATTTTCAAATCCCAAAATAAAACAACGGAACGTAACATATCTTCCATCTTTTCACACAGATATAAAAACTGTTTTACAATCGGTTTTAACAGTGCGTAGAACTAATGCCTCTTTTACAATACTGATATATATATTCAATCCTTCAGGGGTGATTTACACTCAAGATAAACTTATATTGGATATCACCGCTTTCTCTATCAGTGAGTCCTTACTTCGAGACTTGATAGCAATAAAGAAATGAAACAAAAAAGCCGAGAAGACGGCTTTTATGGTTAACTCGAAAGTAAATATATTTTTGGGTTATTAATAGTACACAGACAAGTTTTTTTGAAGTGTTTTTTCCTTTCTCGTTCGCTGCTTCGATGTTGTAAAACACATGTAACTGGATCTACTAAAGGTAATGAAACACAGCTTGGTCTTCAGGAAGTTCGATTGATCGCAGAGAAACGCATGTCAATGAATATTGCGGTAAGTCCGAAAGAAGTGAGAAGAAGCTCAAACTTCTTCATAATGACTCACCTCATGCCTTGGTTTTTAATTATAACGACACAAACCCGAGTGTTCCCCACGATATCTGTTATTATCAGCACAGAAAACACCACAGTGATCACGGTCTGGGCTGAATCGGTCGACATGATGGATTTTCTTTCTCTTTTCGACTGCAATTTTTACCAAAACGTCAGTTGCCTAAGGACATAAAATTAATGCTTCTGGAAATCCTGAAAGAATGTTCGTGAAAGAAAAATTGTAATTGCAATTTGCAATTTTCCGTACTGTTACTAATGGAAACGGTTTTTTACAAGTTGTGGCAGCTTGTAACGGTTGAGCGGCCATACCAACTCCAAAATCAGACTGAGCTAAGCTGTAAAAAGGAGCTTTGGATTACGAGTAAATCGAAATTACCGTTTTTCCGACAATCGCAGAAATAGAAAAAAACCCCATTTGCTATGCACAAGAACATGTACCAGTGACGAGGCAAATTGTATAACTGGTACTTACGAAAATCTTGATTAGAGCAAGAAGTATTGTGTACTTCCTTTTAAAAACTGTTTGTAAAATTGCTTGATCGCCTTACATTTCCGGAGAATTACTTCGAGTTTTAGAGGCTCAGAGAACGTGCCACCTTATTCCCATTAAGATGTTGAGTCTGATGTTGAACCTTGCCGCTGTTTTACTGAGAATTGGAAGTTTAGTTAAAAATCCGTATACACCCATCGATGGTTTTTCTATGTCAACATGAACAAAGGAGATGTCAATGGCGCCAATCATTCAAGCTTTTGACTTTCAACTGAAAGGAAAATAAACACTAAGCCAGCTTCATTTTATTTTACTTTAGCGATCCGGATTACAATCGGAAAGAAATAAGTTTATTGGCGACAATGAAAACAGAGCGTGCATAATTGTTATTGTACTAAAGAGGGTGTTTTATTTACCACGCGGACACAAATGTTTGTGACTTCGCAAGAATGAATATTCTGTGAATTGCAAAACACTGTACCTCTTGCTAAGTACCGTATAAGTCCAACTGTATTCATGAGAAAATGAAAAAAATGATCGTCAATTAATAACTTTATTATACTTTTCTAAATTGCTCGCGAACTTGTCCACTTTGTATTTTACAGCATGCGTAAAAGCCGTTCTAACGCATTTCATTTAAGATTCGATGTCGAAATGACATTTTCGTTAGTGGTGTAGTAGTTGGCGGTTCGAGCCCAATTTCACAAATCGTGCTCAAACTCGCTAACCACTATTCTACTTACCATATTATGATAACTATTTGGTGAAATTCATTTCTTAGAAATTGACGAACTACCCACGCATTGACGTCATTAAATAAACAGGAAGTTGATGACTCATCAATGGGACCCTCCCGAGGAAGTTGCTCGTCACATTTAATAATAGGTAATAGATAATAGCTCAGTTCCAAGAATAAAAATCTTATCGAGTTTTATTCATCCGACTTAGAGGTCGACGTTTGTACCTTGCAACCCAAGGATCCCGGGAAAGCTTTAAAACAAGAAATACGATTGAATTGGTCTCTGGGAAGAAGTTTAAAGGGGTAGTTAGAATTTTATCATCGTCATACCAGTGCATCAGACTTCTGAGAGATTTTGCTTTTGAATTTCAAATTTTTGTTTGCATTTATCTTTATGCTTATTGCAACTCAAATGACAGACGAGAATGTCTCAAAAAATTTCCAAGATCCTCTAAGTCGCTCGAGAGCGGAAATTTCTTTGGAGACAACCTTCGCCATTCTGATCTGCCTCGCTTTCATACTTGGTTATGTGCTGGTTCTTTACATTGTCAATAGATACTCCAAGATGCAAACCATCACCAATATTTTCATTCACAACCTTGCACTGACTGATTTCCTCATGGCGACCCTTAACGCACCGTTCTGGATAACGAGTTTATACACTTGAACGTGGAAATTGAGCCAGGAATGGTATGAAATTTCCACATGAGTGCAATGATATATTGGTTTTTTGCTTTCATGTTCAATATAGGCTTAATTGCCCAAAAAAAGATTAATTAAAATCGTCAATACAGCCTTGTATAACAGCCTTGTATAAATTCTATTCAGATGCCTTTGTTTATACTTTCAACTGGGAGGGAGGACAATATTTTTCGTCATATTTATTGCAAGGTCTTGTCGTGTTCACTGGTGGAGTACTGTGCTCTGGGGCCCTTAGCAACAAAAGAAAGCTTTCTTCATCTCTAAACAGGAAAATTTAACAGATATTATGCGCTCTAACTGCAAATCAAACAGTGATCACCGAGAAAGAAAAAAAAAGAATACTCTTTAGCACTTTTTTTTGTTCCTTTATATACCCCGAGGAAAGAGTTGACTAACCTGGTTACACTATTAATCACAAAGAAAAAATCATGATTGTAATGGTATTTTATAGGGAGATGGAAAATGAAAATTACATTACATACAAAAAACCAAATGTTCAAACAGGACAAACCGACCTAGAATGACTTAATTTTCCAACGAACATTAATATAACCCGAAACTTCCATGATGACACGCAAAACTTTTTAACGTGCCATCACGATCTATCATTAAATGATAGATATTCAGGACAAACGTCATCAAGTTTCATTGCTCCTCGGATGTATTATTACTGCTGCAACTCTTGCATGACTTTGATCTGTATTATCGCTGCCATAACGACCACAACTAAATGCCTTTTTGAAGGCCTCTTTAAACTGCGGATTCATTATCCCATAGATGATTGGGTTTACAAGACTACTGGCGAAAAACAAATACACAGATACCTTACGCACCTCATGTGGTAAGTAGCCACCACTAGTTATTGTAAAAGTGCATACGGCTATAGGAAACCATGTAATTAAAAAGAAACAAACCACTGTAAAACAACTCTTTAAAACATCGATGTCAGTACGGTGGAATCTCGTTGCGCCGACGCCATTTTGAAGAACATTGGCATTGACATTATCTGTGCTTTCTTTCACTGTTTGGTAAATTTTCCAATAGGAGTAAAATATAGCAACCATTGTCACGTCGAAGAACCCTCCAAGCAATATGACAAAAGAAAAGTGTCCATCCTTCCAGTTGAATATGCAAATTAAAGAGTCTGAGTCAAAGTTCATTTTTCCCCATCCATACAATGGAGGTGTGGCGAATAGCACAGAAACCAGCCAGACGAGACCACAGTACAACCAAGCTGCTCTTTTACTTGGGAAGAACTTGATATAAATGGTTCGCTTGACGACTTTCATGTATCTGTTCAGGGCAATTAAGCCCATGATGAGCGAGGTGGCCAAACCCATAGTATGTTGTACTGTTGCAGAAACTTCACACCATTCCTGGCTCAGAATCCACTTTCCCGAGTATAAGCTCGTTATCCAGAATGGCATGTTAAGGTTCGCCATGATAATATCAGTCAGTGAAAGATTGTGAATAGGAATGTTGGTGATGGTTTGCATCTCAGAGTATTTATTTACGACATAAACAACCAGCACATTACCAATTACGGAAGCAAGGCAAACCAGAATGGCGAAAGTTACTTCCAAAACAATTTCTGCTCGCAAGCGATTAAGGGGATCTTGGGACATCGTATGAGACATTCTCGTCTGTAATCCAAGCTGCATTAAAACTGAACAAAAAAATCAAGAACAATCTCAATTTCGGGAAGAAAGGCTATTACGTGGATCCTTCAGAGAACTTTCAATGTACAACCTTAGGCTTTGGGCAAATTAAACTCTGCAATCATCTTTTTCTCGTGTTTCTTGTTGAAACTAAGCCAACATTACGCAGGGCTCGCAGTGCATCGGCTTCACTTTCCTCGATGGACCTTTATAATTTCACGATTAATGTAAATTATTTTCTCCACAGTCTTCCTTCAGGTATCTTCAATAAACATAATGCAAAAATATCGCTTCAGAGAAAGCTCAGATAATACTCACGATTTTCAATTCCTTGAACCTCCGAAAACACAGTCTAAAAACCTGGCTAAGATCTTTTTACCTGCCGCTGGCTTTATTTTCAAGGATGCTGAAACCATCAAGCTCTTTCAGCGAAAGGGAATGATTGCAGCCGACTTAAATACGGTTTATTGAATTCAAGAGAGCCATTATCACTAATTATCTTTAAATTAATTTTCCTCATAATCCTTTGTTATTTATTCTTTTGTATGAGTAGTCAAGGTAGAAGCTGAAAAAAAAAAAAAAGAAAAGTAAAAAGGGAGAACAGCTTTCGTTTTCTCAGCAAAGGACAATCTTTACCCTTTACTGTACAAACATCTGAAAACTGCAGAGGGAAATAACGTCATTCTCAGCTTTTGAAGTTTGTTAGAGCCATCTATGTCAAGTCTATGTTCCTCTTTAATCGTGATTAGAACTCCTTTGTTTTCCCGATCAAATAAATCACTTTATATCAAAAACTTGCGGAACCATGCCCCTTCGTCGGTACATTAGTTGTCTGTTTGATGTGAAAATGCTTTGACGTACATGTAACAAAAGACATGATGGAAGGGAAATGACGCAGAACATTTTGGATATT